GGGGGGGAGAAAGCTGTGAGTCCAATTTCCAAAGTGGTTCTCATCTTCTAGAACAATCGGTGGCTATTTCCTGAGCAGTGACTAGAATTCTGATTCATAATAAGTCATGGTGTATTGAATAAACTGCAGTACACTGGGTTCATACATAACTAAAGCAGAACCTATATCTTACAGACAACAATTATTGCACTCACAAAACAGGATAAGCTGAAACCATAGAAGCCAGATTACAGTTTAGCATTGTTTAAATCGAGATGTTAAAAATAGGTTATACTGCAGCATCAGTCAGTCCCCCTGTTAAAGAAGAATATTTTGCAAATTCATCTTAACTAGCCAAGAGTAGTTTTGTTTTTATTAATTCTTTATTTTCAATATATCCATCATTATAGCCATCTTCAAATTAAAATGCAGAGGAGTGGAACAAAAGAAATCAGCTCAAGAGACCCAGCATACACTGTTTCTCAATGTCTCCCATTTTCTTTCTCTAAATACAAACATAGACATGCACACACACACACACACAGAGAGAGAGAGAGAGAGAGAGAGAGAGAGAGAGAGAGAGAGAGAGAGAGAGAGAGAGAGGGAGGGAGGGAGGGAGGGAGGGAGGGAAGTAAATGATTTTGAATTGCTTAGGCCTTTGAATATCTTGGGCACTACTTGAAACTTTGCCTGGATATAGATCAGCACCCTGTGTAGTTTTTATAAAGATGAGATCTCTTGCTATCTATAGCAAATCTTGAAAAGCAGCTTTGTGGCAACAATCAGAACCAGCAGATGATTTCAAGCAGTTTTCAAAGGCAACCCCATACTGAGCACATTGCAGGAATCCAAGTAAGGCATAACTAAGGCATGTATCATTCTGGCTGGATCTGATATTGCTGGAAATAGTTTTAGCATCTTTGTTCTTATCACAGAAAAGCCATTAAGCAAAGAACAAAGCAACAGCTTACACAATATCCTTTGATTTTTGTCCTAATGTAAAACCTATGCACAGGACAGAAAGCCACCATCCACACAAACATAGCAAAATAGACTAGCTCCACGTGGCAAAGGAGTGAGACAAGGCTTTCCCCTTATTTATGTTTTTTTAATCTACATCCTGAATATATATTGAGGGAAACTAGATTGGAAAAAAGATGAGTGTGGTTTTAAAATTGGAGGAAGAAACATCAATAGCCTTAGCTATGCTGGTGACACTTCACTACTCGAATAGCTGAAAATGCAAATGATTTCATTGCACACTGGTCTTTCCTGTGACACTTTATGGAAATGAAAGTTGGGAGTTTGAAGAAGCAGGATAGAAAGAGTATTGGTATTTTAAGACAGTGATGTTGGGTAGTCAAAAAAAGCCAATCATGGATCCTAGAACAAATCAAGCTATGGTTCTTATTAAAGAGACAAATGGCCAGGCTCACATAATCATATTTTAGACATATCTGGAGCTCTCTTGCGAAGTCTGTAAGTTGGGGAAAAAAAGTGAAAAGAAACAGAAGAAGACAACCGGGTGTACGGACTCAATTACAGAAGCAATAGGAGCAGGCACTGTTACAAGATTTGAAAGTCTAGGTCAGAGAGGGATCATCCTGGAGAAGGTCTGTGTGTGGTCGCTCAGTGTCAACATTGAATTGATGGATTCAGTTATTCCAAGAATAATTAGGAGCTGAATCTCTGGATAAAGTTACAAGTCCCAAAATTGTAATCTCTTCTAATGGAAGGAGCTCAGATAAACAATGCATAACAATAAGAAGCCTTCTTTGGGGTTTTGTTTATTCATTCATTGAACTTGGCTTTTCCGAGTAGCCTCTATAAAAATGCAGCAAATCCATGCAATTGAACCAAAAGTCTTGCCATCTGAGTAAGGACGAGGATTGTTTCTTATTTTGATAAAAAAAAGTATCTGTAGCCAATGGGGTCTGCATCACGCAGGAAGAGGCTGGGATAGGCTGGAATTCCACAGGGACTATCTAAAATTAGTCCTGTGTAATGTGACCTAAGTGAAATGGCATAAAACAAAAGCCCCCTCTTGGAGCTGCTGATTGCTTAGCAAGAGCTGGGAAGCCGTCCAATCCTTTTTGTGTCTTCCCTGCTCTTTGTAACTATGGTGCCTAGAAAGGATCTTTTAAGATGCTAACATTTCAGTTCTAGCTTATTCTAGGGAAGGCAGGATTATGAAATACCCATTCAAGGAGTAACCAGGGGGTAGCAAAAGGGCCCCAGTAATTCTGTGTCTTCTTTCTCTCTTTTCTCTGTAGGCCTGGATGCAAATTCTCAGAATAGCTCTCAGGAGTTTCTAGTTCCCAATGATGTAAGTCAGACTTTGATGTGAGCTGCCTACTCTGCTGGGTTAATGCTGTGGTTGGTTGGGTCTTTTGTTTGCACTGTTGTAATTGTACCCACTTCCGTTCCTCCCATTTCACATCAGTATAAAAGCTCATTGGGCATAAATCCAGACCCTTTTTCATTCCTTTCCTCTGCTCCTGTTCACCAAGGTCTGTAGAGAGGGACTCCATTCCAATAAAAGCAGAAATCTACTCCCCAGACAAATCTTTTTCCAATAAAGGGCCACGTTTTGCCAGGCAACTATGTCAGAATAAAAAAATCCAAATTCTTTTATTGTTGCAGATGAGAAAGCTGCCTTATTCTGGGTCCAGCTATTTTTTTCAACTGGACTAATATTGTTTACTCAGATGGACAGCAGATCTGTGGAGTCTTGGATAGAGAAAGGGCTTTAACTTCATCTGTTACACACTTATTTTGAACTGGAGTAGCCAGTTAATTATTTAGGAATTGTCTTCTTGAGAACCTTGTGTTCTTCCACAGAACTATGGTCTTTGGGGAATAGAGTTAGGTAGCAAACGGTTTTTTAAAATAGAATTAATATGCTAGCCTTCTACAACAAGCAGAGGCAACTTTTTATTCCAGACAATTCAGCTTTTAATTGTAATTATTTTTTAGCTTTCATGACTTGCAAAAAATGTAGCAGGATACAGTAATTTCATTAAAATTCAGAAGACTTGAAAATTCAAGATCTTTTTTTTTAATGGCATTGTGTGGCTTGTTTGTTTTAAGATAAAATGGGTTGTCAAGCCTCTTAAAACATTTAACATATCTATTTTAAGAAATTAGTTTTTCCAGGATTGTTGAGAGGCAATGCACAACCCAGACTTTAGGGATAATATGCTCTCAACATAGAATACTTATTGGCAAATGGATTACAGCATTGATTCTCAGCCTGTGGTCCATGTTGCCACATGGGTGCTCAAAGGCTTAAAGAAATATTATGATTTAAATCTTGAGATAAGTCTTGGTGGTCTATGTCCATCGTCTGTGGTCACAAAAAGTATTTAAAGGGGGTCCATGGTGAAGAAAAAAAAGGTTGAGAACCACTGGACCATAATACTGCATTTTTTTTACCAGTTGCAGCTTCTGGGTGGTAAAGAAGATAAATTCAAGGACAAACCCCTGTAGGGTGCATTACAGGTGTCTCGATGAGCGGTGTCAGCAGTATTAGTTCTTGTGGCAAAATCCTGTTTCAGATAGGGTTACAAATAGCATATCAGTCAAAGTTGGGGAAAAAACCCCCCCAGTCACAGTCTCAACCAGCTCACTCACCATATGACGAGAATCCAGAAGGATCCCCAGGTTACAGCCTACTCATACAGGATCAGTATTTCCTATCAAAGAGAAAACACGGAGAGTCTGATGCACAAACAGCTCTATCTTGCTTCGATTCAAGTCTAGCCTGCTTTATCCCCTCCAGACTCTGATAGTCTTCAGATATCAGGACAAAACATCTCTAGCATAGCATAGCTAGTAATACAAAGAAGACTTTCATGTGGATATCAAAAACAAAACAAAAAGGGGGGCGGAGAGGGAGAAGGGAAGGAAAACAAACCCTATGGTATCCCACAGGAGAGTAGCCACTGGGCTGACTCTTCACTAGAACCGCCAAATGGAACCACTGAAATGGTGCTCCTGAACCTCAACTCTCACAAACAGTCTGGAAGGACACTTTGATCTCAAAGGCCTGTAGGAGGTCTAACAAGACTAAAAAGTAGGGCATTCCTCCATCTGGAATCTGACAAAGAATGAACTTGAGTGACCTGTGCTGCCTCTGTCCCAGGTCTAAGCAGAAAGAATACAGTGTTATTTATAACTCTGCTAAGAAAAAGAAGCAGGTGGAAAACCAATTTCTAACCTTAGTAATGTTTAAAAGTCCAAACTTCATCATCATAGCTAAGACCAAAGGTTTAAAAAAAATAATGCAGTCTATACCGAGGGGGCAATCCCAGGGAGGAGGGTTCAAAATTATAATTTGAGTTTTAATACAAACTGTGCTGCTGTTTCTTTCATGGCAGCCTAGTTGTACCATGAAGGGATTATCTGGAAATAATTGAAGCTTCAGATATGAAAGGAAATAAAGATTGTTGGCATCAACAGTTATTTGAATTTGATAAGTATTTGGCTCTTTCCTTCTGTCACAAGGTTCAGATGTCATTGCAGTTGTAAAGGAATGTAGAGATGACTTTGGAAGGGAGTAACTGCTAAGGGAAGTGAAACAGCAACTCAGTCCTGAGAAAGTGAGAAAGAATCTCAAAATAGTCCTGTCTTGATTCTGTTTAGTGTAAGAGGGGGGGTAGAGCGCGAGAAAGGCTTGCAGGCTTTCATGATTCTGTTACTACACCCTACCCAGTAAAGTAGCATTCCTGGAATCCTTGTGGGGCCCGTTTCCTGACCTGGCCTACCTCACAGGATTAGCAGTAGTGGACAAAGCACAGTAATCACACTGGAAAGTCCTAAGAGAGAGGAACAACAGGGGTGGGAAAGAGGTATGTTAAACCCACTTTCCAACAATTTCAGAAGCTTCACACTCACTCCTCTCTGAGAGCAAAAGCCATAATATCAAGCTAAAAGAGGAATGTGCCAGTTGCTCACCCACACAGCCAACCCAGCTGCAAGCCTGTTCTGTTGGGGAAACTGAAGACTTTATTCGAAGTCAGGAAGCATGTGGGTAGTAAGCAACATTGACCTTTACACAGCGCCCCGATTTTTACATGCACAAGGAAAAAAAAATGCTGGAATTTTTTGTTAAAAGAAAAAATCTTAACAAAACAAGCTGCACTGTTTTATTATTGCAGGTCAGTTCCTGCCACAGTCTGGTAGAAACCTGAACTACATGACTTAATTATTATTTTTTCTTTCCCGTTCAGTCTCTCGCTTGTCTAATAGAATGTGGTTCAGTCCAATAAATGTTTGTAGCTAAATAGCTTAAACAGCACAATCCTGGGGGCCCACCCAGCTACAAACAGGACTGATCCTATCCTTCAATAACTTCTGAGTTTGAATCTCAGAAAAGGACAGTGTCCCTAGGCTGATGATCCTGGCCACTTCTGTATTAGATCCATGTGCCTCCTGGCTGGTGTAGGCCATCCAGAGGGGTGCCATTGTTAAGTGTGGTGTGTTTCTTTGAGGGAATGGTGGCTAGGGTTGCCAGGTGTCCACTAATTGAGTGGACAGTCCACTTTTTTCACATTATGTTCACTATTTTTTTTCACAAAATAGTGGACATTTTTTTTATTCAAAAGCTTTATGATGAAATGGTACGTAATCTAAAGCTGTACAGTCTACTTTTTTTACTACTTAACACACACCCACCCCCGCTTGTCCACTATTTTTTGGAAGCAGACCTGGCAACCCTAATGGTGGCACCTCCTGCCTTGAATATAGCGTCCTCTCCTCAAAAAGCCTTCACTGGACCCAACTGTCCTAGGCAATTTTCATCCAGTATGTGGCTAGGTTACAGCTTCAGAGGCCCCTGAAAGATTCAGATTGTTTTGACTTACTTCATTCTGGTTTCAAACCAGGGCATAATATCAAGATGATATTGGAATTTGTTGATAACTTTGGTGTAGTCAGGAGAAAGGTGCTGTAATCATCCGGGTTCTTCTTAATCTCTTGGCAGCTTTTGATACCATCAATCATGGTATTCTTAAGGATTGCCTGCAGGGAGTAGGAAGTGAAGATAAAGTGTTCCTGTGATGGTTTTCCTTTCTCTATGATTGGGTTCAGTCAGTGTTGACAAAAGAGGGAGAGATTGAATCCCCTCTTAAGATTTGGTATTCTCACCTCTCCTGTTTAGCATCTACATGAGGCCCCTGGATGAGGTGATCTGTCAATCTGGGCTCAAATTATGCATCTTGGCCTGGGGCTGGCCAAATGATATAATCAATGTCTAATTCCAGTATGTAGAGGTTGTATATTCCTGGCTTGGAAAGAATGAGCTTAGTCTCAACTCTGATAAGACTGAGTAGTAATGGATGTTTGCACCTCCTGAATCTGGAGTGGTTTCATCTTTAGTCCTGAATAGGATTGTATTCCCCTCTCAAGGACTAGTACAAAATTTGTTGGTTTTCTTGGACTCATAGTTCTACTGGAAGTTGTAGCCAGAAAACCTTGCCACAATTCTTCTAGTATGCCACTTGTGGCCATACTTAGACTGAGAGGCCTTAAGACAGTCACTCAAATTTTGATCACCTTGCATTTGGACTCCAGTAATTTACTGTACATGAAGCTGCTCCAGAAGGCCACTTTATAGCTTAGATTGTCCAGAATGCAGCAGTGTGGGCAGTTTGGAGCACCATGGTATGCCTCTATAATATCCTTCACATGAGCTACAGTGATAGCTCCACATTCAGTTTGGGTGCTGGTTATCAACTATGAAGTGCTTCATGGCCTAGACCAGGGGTGGGGAACCTTTGCTCTTTTATGACTTGTGGCTGGCTGGCTCAGGAATTCTGGGAGTTGAAGTCCACAAGTCACAAAAGAGCCAAGGTTCCCCACCCCTGGCCTAGGATCTGGTTATTTGAGGAACCACCTATCTCCAATAGTTTGTCATATTCTAGATCCCTGTAGATTAGATAATTGATAAATAATTGATTAAATAATCACCCAGTTAGACTCAGAAGCAGGCCTTCTCTGTCATGCAGCTACTCTCTGGAACACAGTTTCCTGCCAGATTTATACAGCTTCAACCTGGCCTTATTTAAACAAGCCCATAAAACCTGACTCTATCCTTAGGCCTCTGGCTAGATTGGATGATAGACCCCTTTATGCTGTTTTGATCTGTGAACATTTGTTTCTGAACGTTACTTTTCTTTTTGGCAAGGTATTTCTTTGATTTTAGTGCCATACTTTTAGATTATCTGGGTTGTGACAGATTGGGATGGCCTATCAATTCCATAAATTATATTAATTTATTATATTGTATTGTATTGTATTGTATTGTATTGTATTGTATTGTATTGTATTGTATTGTATTGTATTATTATATTTATATTAATATTATATTATATTATATTATATTATATTATATTATATTATATTATATTACATTACATTACATTACATTACATTACATTACATTACATTACATTATTATATTATCAGAGGTCTTCAGACTCGGCCCTTTTATGACTCATGGACTTCAACTTCCAGAATTCCTCAGCCAGACACGCTGGCTGAGGAATTCTGGGAGTTGAAGTCCATGAGTCATAAAAGGGCCGAGTTTGAAGACCCCTGTATTATATTATAATAATTTCTCTATATTTGAATCTTGGTGGTTTCTGTTCCCAAAGTAAATACTACTGTAAGTAAGGCACTGTTTCTCACTGCAAGAAATACATCACTTAATGATTCAGTATTTTCCATGCACCTTAGTTCAGCAGTTTTTTTGAGGGATGAAATTCCTTGCACCCTTCCCTCCGAAAGATGATTCTTTTTTTTCTTCCTTAGCTCATCGGCTGCATCATTGGCCGTCAGGGGAGCAAGATCAGTGAGATTCGGCAAATGTCTGGAGCACACATCAAGATCGGGAACCAGACAGAGGGTTCTTCCGAACGTCATGTGACCATCACAGGGACACCTGTCAGCATCACTTTGGCTCAGTACCTCATCACAGCCTGGTAAGAGCCAGTACAGCCTCTGGGGGAGATGAGGCAGGGAGGAAACCTCATTTTCACAAATATACACAGGTATTGCTGCAGCTTCTTCCTCCTGTGTCTAAGCCCTGGGACTTTTAGATGGATAGCTTTGTAGGAACCAAATGGCGACCCCTTTGCTATGGTGGGTGAATTGTTAGTTTGCCACCTTTCTGCCTTTTATTTAGTAAACAGGAATGTTAAAATGTAACATCCTGCAGCAATCCCATGAGTGTCAATAGTTTTGCACTCTGTCTCTCCAGCCTGGATGACATCCTCCAATCTTTGAGTTTCTCATGAGCCAACCTGAGACTATTACCATTAGCTACAGTATTTTGGGCAGCTGTCTCTGCTTTCCCCTGAAATTCCCCTTGCAGCTACGAGCACCGATGCAGCCTTCAGTTCTGCTCAGAACAGGACTCTTGTTTTCAGTGTGGAATAACTGCCTTTTATCCACAAAATAACAACACTTGAGCGGAATATATGAAAGGATATTTGCCATGGTGTATGACAATCTGGCACTTGAGATGCTTTAAGATTTGGAGCAGGAAATAACTGTTGCTCTCTTTTTGTGCATTATGGCAAGTAGTGTACAGGCTGGTAAGACATGGCCTGCTTAATGAAGGATGCACTTTCCTGTTTATACAATCAGTTTTCTTGTGGAATTCACTCTGGCACTTATTTTATATTTTAATATATTTACATATTCAGAACCAAAGTAAGCTAAATTTTATCCTCACTGCCCCTCACCACTTTCATCCTGGACAGATAAATTGGTTTCAGGATGTGAAATTTAGATATTGATTCAAGCCATTGGTCATGGGCCCAAGACACATAAGTGCCTAAAATATCTTGGAATGCTTTGATTATATAAACAGGAGCTGCTAAAAGATACAGGATAACTTCCCTTGACATAACCAGCTCTGAACACTGATCAAGGAAATAGGCTCCTCTTATGACAGTAAAGATTCCTTACCGTAAATGTATGATCATAGTCCGGGGGATTCTGGGGAAAAAGATCTTATCCGGATGCTGAAATGCTTCAGAGCACCTTGTTCACTATTTCCAGTCTGTGTGTGTACCTATTCTGTTGCACATGTCATTATGCATGCCAGTAAAAACACGTCTTTCTGTGAATGCATATCCATATCCATAACCATACTGTTATATATGTATTAAGCAAACTATACATATTAACCCATACCTATGCATATTATGCTGTGTGCAAGCTTGTTCCAGCACACATTAGTACATATACTTCCAAGTATATGTCCACAGATGTCTGCATTTTTATATGTAAATGGGCATGCATGCACAGGTCTCATTCTTTCTCCCTTCTTGTTCTTCAGTTTAGAGACGGCCAAATCTACCTCCCAGACGCCCCCCGTTGACCTCGGCATGACTTTCTCCCAGCCCCTCACCCCTTCGCCAGCCCCAGCGCTGACAGCAGTGGCCGCACCTCCCCCAGCCTTGCTTGGTCCCCCCTATGCCATCTCCCTCTCCAACTTCATCGGCTTGAAACCCATTCCCTTCTTGACACTGCCCCCTTCCTCAGCCACGGGGCACAATGGCAACCTTGCCACCTACACGACCAAGATCTCCACAGCCAATGCAAGCAAGAAGGGTGAGAGACAGAAGTTCTCCCCATACTGAAGCAGGAAGGTGGGCTGCGGGGTAGGGAGGGGAAAATTTGGGGGACCCTCCCATGCTTCGTGAGATGGCATCAACATCAGGCCACTCCAAAATGAGATTACATGGGGGAAGACTAAGTATGATGTGAGAGGCTAATCAATTGTATTGGAAAGTAAGGAAATGAGAGAGAATATAACCTCAAGACAGAGAACTGGTTCTTCTCCATAATTCCTACTTGATCCTAGCTGAGAAGCCTGTAGTGGTTAAGACCATCTAAACTTAAGGTTTCACCTCCGTTGAACAATTACCGCTCCACACTCAAAATGTTCTCTCACCATCTGATTTCCTGTTGGGTTGTTAGGAAATCTACCAGTTGACTTAGAGAAAAATTGAATCATACACAAATTCTCTATTCCAAATTGAAGGCACTGGAGGTCTTGGGAGAGGTCTTATCGCAATTGTGGGAGTAGATGAGGCTTATTTGACCAACGGTAATGATAGAGTATATGCTGTGCCACTGCTATATCTCATGGATGGTAGTTTTCAGGGGGGGAAAACTGGAAAAAAAATCTGACTAATAAAGAAGAAGAAGGCATATAGGATTTAAATATGGCGGAACATACCAAGAAGCAAACTTTTTGGTTCTCTGTTCTAAATATTTCTCTCTTGATATGAAGCTGCTTATGTATCTCATTCTAACTATATAAGAATCTGATTTTTTTTTAAAAAAAATCATGGCTGTTTTTGACAAACACACAGGGTCCTGAATTTTTGCTTCCCCCTAAAAGCTGGGTAGAATAAAAAGAGATGGAAAGGAATAGGTTTTACCAGAGGCCCTGTCTTATTGACAGGGGGTTGCATAGCAACCATTGGCATATATTTGGCTTCCCTGCTAAAAATCTGGGCAAAGGCTAATCAGATAGTGTAGTATATTACTAAATTTGACTCTCCAGCACTGGCTGCCTATTCTACTTAGTCTCAATGGAAGACACCTACTCCATGGTTTTTTTTATGGCAGATACCTCAGGAAATCTCTTCTTAGCAGGTCATATAATAGCTATCATGCCATGAATGCATCTTTGAATTTATCTTATTCTCATGGGATGTTTTCTCCAATGAATGCTTACTAATACTGTGCAGTCCCTTATAGTTCAGCTCTAAGCAGGCTTACTCAGTAATAAAAAAAAACCCTGTTTACTCACTGTAAGCATAGGAAACTGCCACCTAATAGCAAGTCCAACTACCAGCCCTTTCTGGTTCTATGTTATCTCCTCTGCTAGCTGATAGTGGCTCTCCAAGGTATCTGACAGAGTTTCATAGCTTTACCTGGAGATGACAGGGATTACATGTGGGACCTTTTTCATACAGCCTTAAGGAATGAGTACATGCTCCAAAAAGAGTCCCTATTATCCCCATTTCTTCTTATCTATTGTTATTGGGAGGACATTTGTCAATGCAAATAAATTCATGTGAGCGAAGAGACAGGAATTGTAATTGATCCTGACCCTTCTGTCTAAACTAAAGTGTCATCCCAGAGATATCCAATCACATTGCTACATTTGGTAATTATCTCAATAAATTGAGGTCCTGTCTAGCAGGAATTCAGTGTAGCTTTGTCCTGAGTAAATAGTTACAGGTTTGCAATGTACAGTTAGTATACCATGCAGTCAAGGATTTTACAACCAAGTTCCTAACTGGTTACAAACAGTATAGTTTCTCCAAAGTGATTCAGATTGCTGACTCAAGTTGGCACGTTGTATTTATTAAAATACTATAAGGTTAATAGCAAACTGTTATCTTTATAAGGCATTGGATGGAATGTGCTTGTTCAGTGAATCAGGCTAGAAAAGAAACTGAACTTGCCTTTTGATCTGCCTCTCCTGTGGAACCAACTGACTCAGTAGTAAAGGGTTAGCCCAGGGCTGTGTGTAGTGTCTGCATTCAAGTAAAAAAAAACAAACCGAAATGTTTAAAATTCTGCATGGACGCAACCACATCCTGTGCCATAAAAAGTTCATACCTGACCTGTATAGAATATGCAACTATGCATACATATCTCCTTTGTGCATGGTAATTTTGGGAGAGGAATGTTTGTTTGTTTGCATTGTACCAGATTTACAATCCATGGGAGAAGCAAGAAAATCAACCTGCCCCTTTCTAAATAAATGCTAGTTCCCAAGCAGCACATCTTGTGTTTTTTTGCTGGATTCCTCCAGGAATCACAGGTTTCACACAGCCCTGATTATGCTGAGCTCACGCAATTGGGTACGATGCCAAAGGTGTCTGGGGAAAAAAGTTTCATTGGGTTTAAGGATATCTGCAGATGTGGAGCTTTGAAAGGTAGTGGCATCTGTTTGCTGACAAGATTATTTCATAGCCCCAGCATTGCTAATAATACATATTGGATAGTATAGAAAACCACCATGCATGTGTAATCATTGACTGTATGGTGGTTAAAGGATTGCCATCAACAAAGAAATGCTGTAGGTTTACTGAGCTAATGAGATAAAATTCTCAGATGGTATAAATCAATATGCATCCCAGTAGTTTGATTTCACAAGAAAGGAAAGGATTGGAGCAAAAAACAAAAAGGAGTGGGGTGGGGGTATTCTTATAAATCAATCCAACCAGTTGTCCATTTGGCATTGTACCCTGGCTGGTACAAATCTCTTTAATTTCCCTCTATCACTTCCTGGCAAAAAGCTCTCATCTTTTCTTGCGGCTCTGAGGAATTTCCCTCCTACCCCATAATCCCCTTTGGCTTATCTTTGGAAATGCTGTACATATAATTCTATATTTTCCTCCTTTGTAACTTATCATTGATTTAATAAAAATATAAACTTCATCAACTCAGAATTAATTGTTGTACATTTGAGTCAGGCAAAACCCAGAAAGTATTAACTGGCCACTGGAATGATTAATAAAAGGGGAAAAAGAGCAGATTTTGTAATGTTTTATCTAAGAGCACAGTGAAGGCTAGCATTGTTCGCTTTTTCTTTTCCCTGGCAGCTGGACTCCTGCCCTTTGACAGCCAGAAAATCAGCAGGTGAAACTTTTCTTGTTGTCTTGAATGCCGGAGAAAATATTGTTGATTAAAGTGCCACTTGTCGCCAATACTATGTTCACAGAAGACCTGCAAAGGGCAAAGATGCATCTCTAGAACATGTTGTAATCAATTCAGAATAACCAGCACACCTTAGTTATGTTGTGATTCGTGGTAAAATAAATCAGAGACTCAAGCTCATGAATCATACAAATTATAAGATCAAGTATTTCTAGATAAGCTTTAAAGATCAAGGTTAACCTTCTGTTGTGTTACAGGGCTTTCCACAAATCTGGACTCTACGACCTTGTGCACATAGCATGCTACACCATGAATATGTTGTTAAGTAAATCATTATTGTTGAGACATCTTAAGCCATATACTATAAATTGCAGCTACAATGAATGGCTCTATTTTGTGATCGTGGACCTTGACTGATGAACATAAAGATTTCCCTAATTTATTTTTACAGCAACACAATAGAGGAATCTATAGTGGGTTGTTGTTTTTTGTCTGCTTAGTACTGAGATGGGCAGCTTTTAAGCAAAATGTTGGCCATTAGAGAGTATTGAAAGGATATAGGACATTCTAATTCTTCGCTGCTACTCGGTGATCATTCAAATATTTGCAGCACAGATGTGTTTTTAGTCCATGCAAAGTGCCAAAACACATAAGCTGAGAATATACATCTGGTTGCAGATCCAATTCTCTGTGTGGAAAAGAATAGAATGGATGTCCTACAGCTCTGCACAGATTGTCATTGATCCCAAGCCACCTTCCCCTTTAACTCCAGCAAAAGAATTCAGTATGGGAACATTCCCACTCTCAGTAGCAGCAAGAGCCCAGCAATAGTGACTTCTTTAGTGGAAGGAAAGGGGAACATTATGTAGACATACTTGTCCAACATTTTAGTCCCTTTCAAAGCTAGCCACTTAATGTGGTATGCAAAAAAAAAAGTTTAAGGAAACAACCGCTTCATGCATTGCATTTTGTTCTTTAAACTTCTCATCTCTCTCTTTTTCAGGAACTCTACAACTCTATATAACCACAACCTTTTCCATCTTCCCCTTTCTCTTAACCTAGTCATTCTTTCTTCATGTATTTATTTTAATGATAATAAAGTATTAAACTTGGATGCCGCCCATCTATCAATGACTCTGGGCAGCTCACAACAATGAATCAAGGAAAATATAGAACATTAAAGGTAGAAGATGGCAAATGTAATGAAGCGAGGGTCTCATTTTCCCTCGCCAAAGGCCTGGGTGGAGAAATAGGTCTTCACAGCTCTTCTAAACAACAGTGGACTGGAGTCTATCGGACCTCAAGGGGAAACTTGTTCCAGAGGTCAGGCACTGCTGCGGAGAAAGCATACTTCCAGGATCCTAATAAATAACATTGTTCAATCAAAGGAACCTGAGGGCACCAGCCCTATAGGATAGAATCAGCCAGATAGATGTAATGGGAGGCAGGTAGTCCCTTCAGTATTTCTCTAATTTGTGTAGCTTCTCATCTCACAAGAAGTGACTCTGGCAGGGTACAACAAAACTAAAAGCATCACAAATTTAAAGCATTAACAAACTATAAAAGCAGCTTAAAAAGATTAATGGATGAAGGAATGTTAATAGTAAAGGTTTCACCTCATTCGTTTATCTTTCCCTTGATATCCCCAGGCCTGCCAGCATAACCAAGTCTTAAGGACCTTTAGAAGCCTTGAAGTGATGAGGCTATCCGAACTTTAGGAGTGGGATAAAATTCCACATGTGGCAGCCACAGAACAAAAAAAAGCCTGTGGCCTAGAACCCACCAAATGTAGCTGCCCTTTCTGTTAGATCTGGTGGCAGGCCTGGATGAAATTTGGGGTAAGGCTGTCCCTCAAATAAGATGGACCCATGCAATCTAGGGCTTTAAAGGTCAACACCAGCATCCTGAATTGGACCCAGAAGCAAAATAAGAACCAATATAGTTCTTGCTGCAGAGGTGTAATGTGTGCTACACATTATATAACTGCTCACATTGCTGCATTTTGCACCAGAAGAACTTTTCAAGGACATCCTCACGTAAAGTGAATTGCAATAGTCCAACCAGACAGTCACCAGCACAAAAATGACTGAGTAGGACCCCTTGATCCAGGACTGGTGCAACTGGCGCACAATATGAAGTTGTTCAAAAGCTTGCCTAGCCATGACTGCCACTTGTTCCTTGAGCAGGAGTCATGAGTCTAAAAAGACCTCTAAGTTGCACACAGAGTCTGCTGGGGGAAGGGCAGCCTCATTCAGCACCAAAGCAATAACAATAGCAATAGCACTTAAACTTATATACTGCTCCATAGTGCTTTACAGCACTATCTGAGAGGTTTATAATGTCAGCATATTGCCCCCAACAAGCTAGGTCCTCATCTTACCAACCTTGGAAGGATGGAAGGCTGAGTCACCTTTCAGCCGGTTAGGATCAAACTCCTGGCTGTGGGCAGAGTCAGCCTGCAATATTGCATTCTAACCACTGCGCCACCACAGGTCCTGGTGGTATTAAACAAGAGAGCTCAAAACTCAAAGCCGCTTAGTCTTGCCAGGGTTCATTTTATGTATGTTGTTTCCTATCTAGACCTTCACAGCCCCCAGACACCAGGATAGGATATCCAGAGCATCGCTTAATTCATTAGGGACCAAGATGTACATTTGATTTATCATCAGCATACTGGCAATACTTCATCCCATGACAAAAGATGAGTTCACCCAGTGGCCTCATGTAGATGTGGGAAAAGGGAGGGGAGAGTAACCTCTGTGACACTTCACATAACGGGCCAAGGGCAGGATGTCTCCTCCCCAATCACCACCAACTGGAACGGACCCCAAGTGAACCAGCACAAGTTTATTGCCCTCTCACAATCCTCTGAATCAATCCAGAAAGATACCATGGTCAATAGTATCGAAAGCTGCTGAGAAGTCAAGTAAGGCAAGGATAGGCCTACTACCATCATCTTGCCTATGCAGAGACATCCAAAAGTACAACTAATGCTAGTTTTGTTCCATACCCAGTCTGAAATCTGAAGGAAAATGATTCAGATAATCTGATGCATCTAGGGTTTTCTGAAGCTATTGTACAACCAAGGAAAGTTGACTACTGGGCAAAAGTCCAGTACTGCAGGATCCAGCAATTGCTTCTTGAGAAGAAGGCACATGAAGCAATCTGTAGACACAATAAGGGCAGAGTAGCATTGCCACTTCATTGCCTTTGCTGCTAGAAGAGAGGCCTCTTGCAAGTCTAACTGATGTTCTAAATCGAGTTTGTCCTTAGTTGGACACCAGTGTTGTTCTAGGCATCTCCCATTTCATCTCCCTCAACTCATTCATAAATCATGAGGAATGACAAGATTTGTGAGAGTGGAGATGTCACATAGGCATGATCAGATCCAATACCTCAATCAGCCCTGTAATAATAATGATTTCAGAAGGACCATGCAGCAAAGCAACAGGAACAATCCCCAGCTACCCCCTGAAACCCCTCTGAGTCCATCAGTTGCAAGCGGTGGCCCAATCTAATGGATCCAGCCTCCCTACAGTGGATCGCAGCTTCAGAGAATCACATAGTAATCAGGACATGATCTGACTATCACAAGGGGGACACTAAAAGCTCCACCAGTCAAAGAACACATAGCCACTGCTCTGGCAGGAACACCACAGTCCCATGATGCCCATTGCCATAATAGTAGCTACAAACTCCTGGGCCACCTCAGGTTCCACTCACAGGGAAGGCAGATTGAAATCCCTCAAGACCGTAAGTCTCTACCACCAACCAGGAGGTTGACTCGAGAGCAGCTGGAAGCCAGGGCTTCTGAAAATCTGCTGTCCAGGTATCCAGGCTGAGATCAAGGAGCTGGAATGCAAAACTGATATAAAACACTGGTCCAGTATTCTCTGGGAATGGCCCATTCCTTGTCTCCTGCCATATTTCCTATGCCCATAACCTGTACCAGGTTGTATGCCATGTAGGGCTTTATAGGTAATAGTCACACTCTGAAACAAACCAGCAACAGTACAGTTTGTGAAGCAGAGATGCTACATGGGCATATTGAGACATGCCAATTATTGTTGACGCTGCCACATTTTGGATCTCTTGAAGCTTCCAGGTTGTCTTCAAAGGCAGCTTCACATAGAGTGCATTGGAGTCATCAACTTGTAAGATCAATCAATGTTGTATTAGGGTCACAGACCAGAGTTTCAACCTTGTGAGTTGACTAGGGCATGCATGAGGAGTGACCCCTGTATGAAAGAATGCAGCTGGTGTACCAGGTGGAGTTGTGCAAAGACCTTCCTGGCCACAGCTAACACCAGCTGCAGATCCAAGGATATCCCCAGATTGTGAATTGAACAGCGAATTGCTACCTCATCAAGTAAGCAAGATCTAAGATGGAATATCCTCAGATCTGGGTGGCCCAAACACCCACAGCCATTCTGTAGGATTGAGGAGATATATTTCTCCCCATCCAAACTCATTGGCTGGCCCAGAGCCAAAAGATATAATTGGGTATCATCATCACATGTCAACTGAGCCACTATGGCTTATTAAGCAAATCATAGCTAAAGCTAATTTCAGCTCAGCACGAGGAATGAACCTTTTCAAGTTGGGGGAGTGGGGATAGAGCCTTCTATATATTTGTTTCTATTACAAAACTATTATTTCATGTGGATTTGCTTTAAATGCAATCATATGGGATTAAGTCCTGAGGAAGAGAAACCTTTGTGGGAACAGCTTGCTTCCCTGCACCTTTCCCACGTGAAAAGACAGGAGAGCTCTGCAGTGCCATTGGGGCAGCATAGAAATCCTGTAAAATAAACACATATATTATTAACTTGGGAATTTTCATTAATGTTAGCCTTGGGAAATGTTCCCCAGACTTCCTTTGATTTGATATCTTTGCTTTTCTGCTTAAATAAACTAACACAGTGAAAGCCTGGTCAAAGCCTTCAGAGCAGCAAGAAAAGATAATGTGGTACCACATATTCATTGTCCAAAGAGAAAAAGGAGGAACAAAGTTTCTTGCATTCAAATGGCTACTTACCATAGAAAGAGTAAGGGAGTTTGATGCAGCATTCCATTGCTCTGGGTGTGGGAAGAGAAAAGATCTATAAGATAAGTCATATATTAGTAATAGTAGTGGTTCAAGACACGTCTTCGGCCTTGAAACCCCTGCTGACCAGCCCCACGTATTTTTTTTTTCAGAAAATTTTATTTATTTTTCCATCATAAAAAAAAACAATCATGAGTAATCACAATGAACAATCAAAAAAAAACCCCCACCCCACCCCCCAGACTTCCCAAACCTAATCCCAGGATAATATTCATATAAAAGTAAGCAAATACTAATATCTCTAACTCCACAAAATATCTTAATCTACCAGAAAGGATAGAAATAAACAAACTTAAAAAAAATCTAAAAACCTAAATTATATTCTACCACTCTATGTTTCTTTTGAATATAAACAATCCATCTTCTCCATATTGATAAAAATTGTTCATTTGAATGGTTCTTCAAGTAAGCCGAAATCTTTGCCA